ACCCCCCCCCCCCCGATGGAATTTAGTTAACAATGCTATTGGCAAGGGAACCAGAGTAGCAACTAATTCCTGTTGCCATAGATTTGTTGTATTCTCTCTGTCAGTAAAATAAAGCAGCTGTGACTCAGAATGCAGGGAGCTGGCTCATGGGCACATTTGTTGAATAAAAAGGTGCTGTCTTTACCCAGTCATCATCCTGGCTGTGGCACATTTTTTTCCAGAAATGTTTTAGACTATTTGTGCTTGGATCACTTCAACATTTCCATACCTGGCCATGCACACCACATAATTGGGGATGGAGGAACTTGTCAGTCAGTGGGTTAGCTCTGGAAGTAGTCCTGATGCCATAGCATAATGAATAGCAAAGCAACTGGACAGGGCTGGCCTGGAACATGGCTTGGCTTGGCTTGACTTCGAGGGATGTGGGGAAAAAAATAAATGAGGCAGACATTAATTTAAACATAACAGATCTGTCTAAGAGGTACCTCTGGCACTGTGGGATGTCTTCCCCAAGACAAGCCCCTGTGTAAGCCCTTTGTAGGCATAGTCAATGCAAATGGACTGTGGGTTAAGAGAATTCTTCAAAACCTCCAAAAGACCATAGTTAGAAGAAAAAACTCTAGTTAGATGCATAGACAAGAGGTATTTGTCATTTATGTAAGCCATTCTGAGTCTTTCTGGATAGGGCAGTATATTAACTTTTGATGATGATGATAAATATTTGTTCTCTACCCAAAAACCTAAGTACCTCTCTTCCATAAGTTCCTTTAACAATTGGTAATTTATATCACTTAATTAAAGTAATCCTAATACCCTTCACTTTCTAGTTATTCATCACATACATCTCTATAATATGTAATCATTTTTTTCAAGCATAAGATAATCAAATCCATGTAGGGTTTCTGTAGAAAATCTGGTTCTAAATTTGCTTTTGCTAAGACTTTGGGTTTGGATAAAGCCCAACAGACAACCATAGCACCACTCCAAGTTCACATTGATAGATGCAAGGTAGAGGGAAAGAACAAAAGTGATACTCATCTGAAATATTAGTGCTTCCCTATTTTAGTATTTCATCTTTAGAGGATTGTGTCTTCCAACACTAGAATTAATTAACACTTTATTAGTGCTTTTATGAGAAATGGCAGTCCACTTCAACTGCTGATAAAAGATCTCTGTGATGTTACACTATGCTAAAATATGCCATATTTTTGGTGCAGACTAGGGTGAGAGAACAATACGCCATACTTCTGCTGTGGACTAGGATGAAAATACTTGACACCCTAATTTTAGGACTGCTTGTGCATTTTGAATACACATCAACACAATGACTACACATATGGAATACATAACTGAATCATCAAACATTTTCATGCATCTCTGCTAGTCAAATTTTCTTAAAATATATACTCATGATACTGCCGCTGCTGCCGCAAAATAAAAAAGAATGAACAGCACTTATTCCAGGCACTAGCATAAATGTTTAAGTCTATAGCTGGGACATAAAAGTTTGTAGTAGACTCTGCACACATACCTGTACTTGAGAGGCACATGCACAATTTGAGAGGTATCAACTGTTGAAAATACAGTGCAGCAGTGAACATCAGAGTTGCAACTACACCTAGTCACAGGCTGTACAATAAATGATTGGTTTGGAAATCTAAAGTGAATCTTGCTATTGGAAACACTAATCGTCCAGTCGATGAAATAGTGGGCATGACATCCAGCACCTACCCAAGCCTTTAACTGTATGGGTATTTTTTTTTTGTATACTGGGGTTTGTTGTTCATTGAACCAGACTTGATAGGAGGCTAGACATGCTCCAGATTGATAGTCTACAGAACTTACTATATCAATACTCCTTTCTTTTCCAGATGAAGCAGACTACGGTAACTTTGGGACAAATACACTGTCCCGGAAAAAGAAAGCTCTTGTGGCCCTCCGTAATGACAACCTTCGGAGACGCCCCCATCTTAATATCAGCATGCCTCATGACTTTAGACCAGTGTCTTCCATTATTGATGTTGACATTCTTCCTGAAACGCACAGAAGAGTGAGATTGTATCGACATGGATGTGAGAAACCACTAGGCTTTTACATTCGCGATGGGACCAGCGTTCGAGTAACTCCTCATGGACTGGAAAAAGTCCCAGGTATTTTCATCTCTCGTATGGTTCCTGGTGGCTTGGCAGAGAGCACCGGGTTGCTGGCTGTTAATGATGAAGTCCTGGAAGTTAATGGAATTGAAGTAGCTGGGAAAACTCTTGACCAAGTTACAGACATGATGATCGCCAACAGCCATAATCTTATTATCACTGTCAAGCCAGCAAACCAAAGGAACAATATTATCCGAAGCAGTAGGATGTCTGGCAGCTCGGGCCAGTCTACGGATAGCACAGCTAGTCATCACAGCTTGCCTTCCTCCCATGTTCTGCAGAACTTCCACCCAGATGAAATGGAGAGTGATGAGGAGGCTGACATTGTCATTGAGGGTGGCCTGGAGCCACAGCACATTCCCAAATTGCACAGCCTGCCGTCTAGTAGCCTCTCCCGCATCAATGGCAGCAGTCTCAGCCACAGACTTCAGAGGGACCTAGTACTCAACAACAGTTCCGGCCGGGAAAGCAATGGCAACATCCATAAAATACTAAGTTCCTTAAAAACTGATCCCCGACATAGTTTGGTTATCCCCAGAGGAGGCATTGAGGAGGATGGAACTGTGATTACGCTTTAGTGGCAGTTCTTGTACTATGTGTTCTTAGTCTTAAGTGCCAATTGGAACAAATCTTGACTCTTGCAACATGTGATGCACAGAACAAAAGAGAACCTATGTTCTCATAGACCTCATGGGTGCAACAAATGTTGCTTTCTTGGAAATATGGCTTCTGAGATTAGACATAAATCTGCTGTGTATTGCAAATTCTTGAGATGCAGCGTGAATGTGGTTCATCCTGCATCTACGGTGAGAATGAAAATTATTTTTAATTTCATAAATCTGAGCAATCCTGTATACTAGGAAATGGCAGAGCTGCACAATTGAGTTAGCGTGTCTGCTATATAAGTGGGTGTCTTTCTAATTTGCTTGTATACAAATTAGATCTTGATAGTTGTAACAAACCTATTTGGGGTCTCTTTGAATTGGTCATAGAGAAAAACATTGATCTCCTTTCTTTTTAAAGGATTAATTAACCAGCAGCTGATACAGCTGCTTACATACAGATTTTTCTGTTAACTCGTTTGTGCAGAATATTGGCCACATTTTGTCTAATCCAAGTAAGCTCTGTATAAAGTAGTATTTTCCCAGTGTGGTGGTTGCCAGGTTTGGGAAATGCTGCAGTTACTCTTTCCAAATAAATTCTGGCCAAATGAGATTTATATATATATATTTTTAAAGTCTTAAGTGAGAAGGGAAAAGAAGGATGTTGATGCTGTTATTCCTTTTAGATCAGCACCACCTGCTGGTCAGTGGCAGTACTGTCTGAGTTATAAACTATTTTTTATGTTTGATTTACCGATTGTGGAAAGGAAAATAGATTACCTAGAGGGTTTTTAACTGACTTCTGTTTCTTTGCATTCTTTTTCTTTTTAAAATATTTATTAGACAAAATTTACCAGATGTCATGATTATGGTTTCCATCATCTCCATTGTTGGGTAAACAATTACTGTTAATTTAAGGGATATAAGCAGGAAGGCAGCAAAAATGCAAGACACGGGTTAAGACCATGACCTAAACCATATAACTGACAAAGCATCTCACTATTTTGGTGGTGGGGAAACCATAATCCATAAAGTCTTTAGCTACAAAAGACTGGCTATGTTACACTTAAGCAGTATTGACTAACATTCTAGGCTAACTCTGAATAGGTTGCTCAGACCCCTTCAGTTGTCATCAGGCATCAGAGAGGGGCCTGAAATGTTTGGTACAAAGCTTTTTAGGAATTTAAAATACAACTTATGTCATAGGTTACTAAAAGATCTTTATTTGATACTGCTTACACTACCAACTTTAAGACAATAACTGGACCAGGTACACAAAAGAAAACCCATTTACTTCCAGTTCAGTTTTTTTCTTTGCCACAGAAAATACCATGAGGTGTTAAAATGGTCTAATCTAAAATGTTTTGTAATATCCAACAGTTTAAAGAACAAAATATAAATGTTGTACAATGTATTTTTCTACTTTACCTTATGTGTCATTTTCTTTTGGTTTTTTTTAACTTTGTAGCGTGGATTAAAGCTTTTTCTTTTTTAATGTAGTGAAATGGGCTTTTTTTTTTTACTTAATATACTGCTTTGATTTAAACATTTGAAACACTTTGTTTTAAAAGATGATTTCAGTTTTGGAGTTGGAGGAAAGATGTATGTGGATCAATTTCCTGTTACTCATTTAAAGTACATATGAGCAACAGTTAGATAAGCTTTGGGACACTGAACTAAATCCGTGCATTTATTTTTGGTCTTATTTATTAATATTTTTTCATTTGCTGTTCTAGGCACCATAAGCAAATTTGCTCAGGCTTAGCAAGAGTGAAATATCAGTCTTGTTACTCCATCTTACAACAACTTTATTTGTATCCTTCCAAAAGTAGTTATTTTTATCTGATGGATGTTGGTGCAGCAGCTAGCTTTAATTACTTACTGTGCCATTACCTGCTTCAGTCAATCAGACCAGTTATCAATAAAAGCAGTGTTATTTGAAGGTCTACTGTGCTTTTATAAGTAAGTAGATTCCTGGCTGGCTGAATTTTTACACCCATCTATCCTCCCCTTTTACATCTTTCAGTAGAAATAGCTGATTTTTGTATTATTATTACTCGCATCTAAACAGAATTCTATTTTAGCATCCTCATAGTCAGAAGGTTCCCCCTAACCTCCAACCTAAATTTGTTCTGCTGCAGTTTGCTCCTAGTCCTGTCCCCCTACTGCCACATATCCCTCCTCAGTCTTCTCTTTTGAAGACTAAATCCTACTTCTTTTAGTCCTTCCTTGTAAGACATGTTTCCCAGGCCTCTACAACCATTTTTTGTCACCCTGCGCCAGAATCTTTCCAATCTGTCCATATATTTCTTGAAGTGCAGAGCCCAAAACTGGACACAGTAGCCCAGGTCAGACCTCACCAGTGCTGAACAGACTGGAAGAATCACTCCATTGATTTACATGAGACACTCCTGTTAATACAACCCAGGTATACTTTTGGCCTTCCAAGATGAATTAATTCTGAGTAGGAGAAAACACTGCTGTGACTGGAGAAAGCAGGCAGGCCAAGACTAACACCTTTTAGATTGAAAAACACCAAGTTGCTTTCTGGCAGAAAAGGACTTTGTTCTCTCTCAGCAATAGCTGCCTCCCAGGTCCTGATGCAGCCCCCTTCCCCCTTATATACTTGTAGGCTGCCACCAAGTCCCCCATGAGCCTTCTCTTCTCCAAGCTGAATAGTCCCATGTCCCTCAGCCTCTCCTCATAAGGCTTGCCCTGTTGGCCTTTGATCATAGGGGTGGCTCTCCTTTGGGCTCTCAAACTTATCCATGTCCCACCCTGAAGTGGGGGGCCCAAAACTGGATGCGGTACTCCAGCTGCGGCCTCACTAAGGCCGAGTAAAGTGGGAGGATGACATCCCTGGTTTTGCTCAAGATGCATCGGTGGATGCATGCTAATGTTTGATTTACTTTGCCAGCCACAGCATTGCACTGGTGGCCCATGTTCATCTTGTGGTCAGTCAAAACCCCCAAGTCTCATGGTGCTAGCAAGCATAGCACTGCCGAGTCTATAAGTATGTCGCTGGTTCTTCCTTCCACCCTGCATTTCTCTACGTTGAAGGCCATCAGGTTTTGGTCTGCCCACCTTGCAAGTGTGTCCAGGTCGGCCTGTATCCCCAGATACATGCCAGATACATGACATCACCCTAGTCTCCCTTGTCCAGGCACTGTGTCACCTGGTCATAGAAGGAAAAGAGGTTGGTCAGGCAAGACCTGCCAGTAACAAAGCCATGTTGGCTGGCATTGAGAAGACTGCCCTCTATTAGCCTGTTGCTGATGGGTCCCTTGATGATTTTTTCCAAGATCTTTCCAGGGATGGATGTCAGACTGATTGGCCTGTAATTCCCTGGATCTTCCTTCCTTCCTTCCTTTCTTGAAGATTGGGACCACTCTGGCTTTTTTCCAGTCTTCCAGAATCTCACCCAAGCACCACAAATTTTCAAATATCTTTGCCATAGGATATGCTATGATGTCTATCAGCTCCTTCAAGACTCTCGGGTACATTCCATCCAGGCCCACGGACTTCTGGATGTCTAGCTTCTTGAGGTGTTCTCTCACCTGATCTATGTCAATTGGGGGGCCCATCTCCCGCTCCCTGGGTGTTTTGCGTCCTGTCTGACAACGTGACCCCCTTGGGCGAGTGGAAATGGAAGTTGTATCAACTTAGCTGAAAGCTACACACAGATGCAAAGTCGCAGCCTGGGTTACTTTGCTATGGGATAGAATTAAGGATTTAAGAGTTGAATTCATCATTCCCACTTTGACTATGACTTCACAGTCAAGGAAGATGATTAGCTTGAACCTTTAAAAAAAAATTAAATTAGTTTCAGGCACTACTGTCCAGAGTACTGCTACTGGTTTTTGTCATTTTTTAGTTATTCTCATATTTCAATGCAGCTTTCCTCACCCTTGGTGAGCTGTAGTTACATGAAAATTTATCTACATGCACAAGGGAAAGTCTGGAATGTAAAGTGCTGGCCTGAATCAGTAAAGAAGGAAAAAAGAGAAGGGGAACTTCTGTTTCTCAATTAAAGAAAACTTAGTTACTGTTAAAAACTGTAACAGTTCTAAAAAGCAGCAGCTCTTGCTAAACTTCAACTCTGTGGCTGCTTTGGCTGGGAGATACCTAAGGAAAACTTGATGTTAATGCTTCCCCAATCAGACTGGTAAGCTGATTTGACATGACCGTCAGCAGCTGTGGCCCTGCTGCTTTAGGTTCCAGTGCCACAGCAGAGGGCTCTGTGTGTGCATTTTTAAAGAATCTCATTCTCAATGCTTACAGTGGGAGGGGGGGGATTGTTTGGTTTTTATTCAGTAGTAGTCACTTTACTGTTCTCTACTGCTAATGAATGAGAATTTTGGAGGTGCTTACCTGAGCAATTCTCTAACGGCTGCTGAGGGATGGGATAAAACCTGCCTGCCTCTGATGCATTCTTCCATCCAGGCACCGGGTGCAAGCAGGCATTGGATGGATGAGATGCATGCATGTATGCACTCACCCAATGCCTGCATGCATGTATCTGCTATTAGTTTCAGGCTAGGCTTGCCAACTCTGAATCTATTCCAGGAGGTTTCCGAAACAGCAACATGCCAGTGGCACACAATGCAAATGTGCCTTCGTGTTTGGTGTACCAGTTTCAGATTATGGTGCATAGACTTTACATCAGGAAGGCAGATGCACATTACTATTACATTTTAAAGACCCACTTGACTACTGTATAAATCAGATTTAACATTTATTATTTATTTTAATAAATACCCCCTTATTTCTCTCCTGGGGTGACTCCCGGCATCTGGAGATCTATATGTAATTTCTGGAGACTCCAGAGCAAACCTAGATGGTCGGCAACCCTATTTCAGGTACTACTGAATCTGCATCCCCTCTGATCCTCGCTGCCACACAAGTGCATTGACACAGACCTGCATTTTGCATATTGGCTTCTATTCCAGCCTAGAGAACGCACCAGCAGGCTCTTCCTATGCCTGAAGAAGGGTGTTTGTGCCCGAAAGAACAATTTGCCCAAATATTTAGTTGGTCTAATTAATACAACACATCACATCTACCCAAAGAACCCTGTCTGCATGCATCTGCTATATCAGCACAGCCCTCGCCTACCTCCACGCATGCACGCAGCAGCAGGCGCTAGAGCCCCACATGCCACATCAGCGCCCGCCCTCTTCTCCAAAGGCTGGAGGGCTTCGCCCTGGCTGCGACGCATGCGCTACCTCCTCCGCGCTCCTGGTGAAGTTTGACCCTCGGCGGTACTTGTAGACTGGCAGTCGCGCCTCCTCCGCCCGCGTGACTGGAGGCGCGTGACGGGCGCGGCGGGATGGACGCGTCGGAGCCGCCGGGCGCCAGTGGGAGCGGGGACAGCGGCAATGTGTCACAGAGCCAGAGCAGCGCCTCGGAGCTCGGGGACGAAGGGAACAGCGCGGAGCTGCTGCTGAGCCGCGCCGCTGCCGCCTACGCTGCCTACCTGCTCCCGGCCGGCGCTGCCTGCTGCGCTCAGGTGAGAGTCTGGGCGCGGCCTCTGACTGTCCCTTGCGCGCTGCCGTAGCGGCGACGGGAGCCCGCAGGGGACACACCGCTGCAACTGCGCTCGCTGCCCCGGGCGGCGGTATGCTTCGACCCGGCCGGAGGCCTGTGAGTCGGGCACGGAGGGGTTAAGGAATCTGGCTTTTTGGGGGCTGCGGGCGACGTCATAGAGAGCAGAGCCGGAGGTGGGGGGCCGGAGCCTGGGCAGCCATTGAGGGGGGGAGTGGCGCCACCGCCAGTGCTAGGTTAACCCATTCCTGCCCCTGCAGGTGGAACTTCTGGACAAGAGCCTGGAAGACTTGCTGACGCGGGTGGATGAGTTCGTGGGGATGTTGGACATGGTAAGTGCTGGCTTGGCCTGACCCTGTGCGAGGAGGGAGGGAGGGGATGTGGCCCGGTCAGGGAGGAGCGGGCTGGAAGGGCCCCTGGAGCTCCTAGTCCAGCCTGGCTGCAGACAGGCTTCTTCCCTGGGCACTGCCCTGCCAGCTTCATCTCAGCGGCCCTCGGAAACGGAGAGTCCACACGTGGCTCCCCTCCCTGGACACTTTTCTAGGCAGCAAAGAAAAGCATCTCCTTTACTCAGGTCCAAGTCAACCCTGATTTTAAGATGAGGGAAGGGTGTGTAGCCCCCTGCCGGCTGTGCAGGAGCGGCCTTGAGGTTTGGGAGTTTAGCAGTGGGGGAGGGTGGCCATGTTAATGGTACTTACGTGTGTGACAGAGCTCTGCTCTGGTGCACGCTAGTTAGCAGGCGCTGGACCAGACTCAGTCCAGTCTACTGGCATGTGCTTATTAGCGTGCTCCAGCAGCCTCCGTGTTGCGTGTATTGTGTCCCCATGTTTCCAAATGGCAGCGGGGGCTTTTGAACTAAAGTGAGCAAGCCCCCACCGCTATTTTGAAGCATGGGATCCTGAGTACCCGTGACACTGTGGGTGCATCAGTTAGAGCAGCTCTCAGAGCTGCTCTAATTAAAGCACCACCGCAAAGCACACGTATAGACACCCTAATTGCACTCCTTCCCAGATGCCAGATTTCCCAATTCAGGAGGAGCCCAATGGGCCAAATGACATTTTAGCTCACATGTGCTGCAGATACTTACACACACTGTACAGTTCTGGGAGAAGAGGCTTTCTCCCAGAAGAAAGGTGACATCAGTTAACACTCTTGGTGCCTCGGTTTTTCCAGTCCTATAAAATAACCATCATCTCAACTTTTGTCAAGTGCTTTGTCATCTTTGAGTATGAAGTTCTGCCTTCTAGTTCTTCTCCTTGTTCCTCTGTTCCGTTTGAAATGCTTAAAACGTAAATCCAGCCTACGTTTGTATGCACCTGTAATGAATAGCACCGGTGTATTTACAGCAGTCAAGTTCTAGTGGCTTTACTAGATTTCACTGATTTTAGTATTGGAATA